TATTTTCCCTAATCTAAACCTTGGAAACCAAGGAGCCATTAGGATTAGGAAACTCCATATTCACCTCAGGATCCAGGTGTCATAAAAATAGCCATGTTTTTTCCCAAAGCACTTGACACCAAGAGTTTTAAATATATAACACTGCAAAAATAGGAATTATGGGAAATAATTGGTCCAGTGACAGTGGCGGACTCTGAGCAGCAATAGAGGGATAACAGTGCAACTTCTATTTCCTGCACTAGCTCCTGCCACAAGATTCCATTAATGATAACAATGCTGAGCTAAGGCATAAAAAAAACCCACAGAAGGGGTTAGTTAGATGGGTGCGGTCCATTTCCTGCAGGTAAGGAGTTTCCAAGCAGGCATCTCTGAAATCACTTGGAGAAAATCACCCAAACAGAGAGCAAGGGGTCTGCTTCTCAAGTGATCCTCAGACTCCTGGACTCTGGCTTGGTGTGACTAAAAATACACTAGAAAAGCAGAGACTACCAAGGGGCTCATTTCTTCAGTAACTCCTCAGGCCACATCTCACATCAAAGTCCTGGAAAAACACTATGCAACTGAAAAGCAAAGTCAACCTGCATCAAATAAGCAAGCTCAGCTCCACACAGTACATCAGTAGCTCAAAGAGGAGCACAAAATTACATAAAGTAACAGGAAAACGATAATGGCTGCTACTTACCCAAAACTACTCTCTGCAGGGACAGTGTGTTACATTAGCAGCCTGGAAAAATCTAATCTGGCCAATTCCTACTTGAAGGTCACTTGGTTCCATGTGAAGTATCAAGAACGTTCCAAGATCTGGGAGGAGAACCAAAATGTCCTGGACTCCTCTGAGTTATATTTTCAATTTTAATTTTAAAAAATCTTCTGACAACCTCCCCCCAAAAAACATGATCTTAAGCAAAACAAGTTATTGACATTGTCAAATTTTGGTAATAGAGGGAAAGAGGGAATATGAAGTATTGAAACAGGTATCAAAAAAAACCTTAGGCAACTAGTAACAGCAACAGAAAAGTATGCCTCTACTTTTCTTATTATTCTTTAGCATAGAACAGCAGTAAAGGTCAAAAGCAAGGAGATGGCAGAGAGTAATAATAGACCATAAATGTTCACTGACATTTCAGATCACCGCGGTTTGAGTCAACCTTGCTCAGAGTCCACCTTGGCGATCCTGCTGACAGCTGAGCCCCCAACCACTCAGCCTTCTGACTCATACTCTCCTTATCCTGGGTTCCTCCCACCAGAAGTGCCACCACTGTCTTCTAAGTGGTCACCCAGCACCCCAGAACCCAACTCCTTCCACCTGCAATAGAGAAAGCAGGGCTCCCACTGTGCATGACACTCTATAGCTCCAACTGCAGCCAGGAACCAGGCCCCTTCCCAGGCCTGCTGTCCCTCGAGCTGTAGGATCCAGGCTAGGACCTCTGCATCCACTTTCCAACCCTGCACCTCTGCTCTCTGTGCTCACCTCAATCATTTGAATCTTCGCAGGCAGATTACCTGAAATGGTCTGTCACTAGGCTGCTGACTTCCTGAGGACCGGGCTGAAGGAAGTTCTCACTTGTACCTTATACAGCTCTGGGCACCACTCCTAGAGAAACCTATCTAGTCCGCCCTTCTGAGACACTAGACCACATTGTACAGGTCAGCATTTCCCTTAAGAGGCTTCACAACCTAAATCTTGCAAATATTCTCAATGTCCACACGCCATAACATGCCAACCTTTCCCCAGGGTGCAAATGGCAACAGGCTAAAAATGGGAAGGCCTCTTCCATGGTAACAGGAAAAAAACTATGGAAATGTGACACTAACAAGAAAACAAAGTACAAGAGCACTTAAGCCACAATTAAATGCAGCTGTCCTTCTGTTTTCCTTCATTTCCCAGATTTCCAGAGCACACAGGTTTTCCCCAGGGTACGCAAGTGTCTTTGAGAAAAGCTCCAAACGTGTCCAAACTGGTCAGTAAAAAAGTCTTTCTCAGTATCCCAACAAAAAAGAGGGGCGTTCTCAGCAAAGGTTTGTTACTCCAAGCAACTAGGAAAACAGAAGGAGAAATAGGGGGCAGGATGAAGTTAGTAAGTAGAAACTTTAACTTTTCTAGCTAGATTATCTTAAATGTATGACCTCAAAACATGCTAACTCAGACCCTACTGTACATGTGACATATCTAATACAGTATGTTTCAAACTTGGGTCAAACAAGTCAGCAGTGAAACCAATTCAGTGTTGCAACCAGCACTCTTTTTAATAAAAATCACAGTAATCACAAGTAGTAAGGATTAGGACTATGTCCTTAAAACTTTCTTCAGTTCTTGATATTTCTTACATGAGTCATGAACCAGAAAAGTTTAAACGTGACTGATAAAATTCTGTCAGGAAAATTTATAAACCAATTATTTTTAAATAACTTATGCAAACGAAAAAATAACTGGCACTTATGCTGCCAAATGAAGTTTTTTTTTAAATCTAAATTAAACTGATTGAAGCAAATGTTCAGTTAAGGATGGGGGTACTTATATCCACAAATCAACCTCATTTCTTTATGTCTGTGGTACTTACTACATTCAGTTCATGATTTCTATTTTCTCCTCTATGCTGATATGACACTGGGTGTGGGGGGTAAAAAAGGCAACCTTCATTAAACATTAAAAATGATAATTCATTCAGATTGAGTCATCAACCTAGGACATAGTGTGTTCAATAAGTTGCTAACTGAATAAAGCATTTTATTCTCCTATTTCTAATGTCTTCAGCAAATCCAAGGCAAAAGGAAAAAAAACTTTTAATGTTTGTAAACATTAATAATAGAGCAGTAATACAGCATGATGACTAGAAGTATGGTCTTGATGGCAAGAAAAACCTGGTTTCAAATCACAAGTTTGCCAGGTAATAGACTATTTCACCTCGGTCAGTTCGATTAGTCTCTGTTGGTTTCCACATCTTAAAAAATTATACCCTATCTCAATGGGACAAGTAAGACTCTAAAGACATAAAAATAGTTCTCAAGACAGTGAAAAATGGTGTTGATACGAAAATGTTCATTCAGATGTTCTTTTTAAGCATCTTTGATGTTTAAATTCAGGCTTCCAGAATTCACTCTACAGTCTTTCTGAAAGTTTTAAGCCAACTCCTTATAAGCCCTGGACAGGAGATGAGAAAGAAAATAGCAAGGGATTATAAAACGTATCAGGACAGGGCACAGGGTTATTTACTCTCTTGTTTTATTCCAGAGAACAGTCAAAAGCAGGCGTGCCTTTAATTTAATCCTTAACAACTCTGAGGAAAGCCTCCCTGAGCAGTAGCAACTGCTAATTCCAAGTAGAACATAAATGTAGTTGTTTTTTTCTTTTGGGGGGGAAGGGAGAGGATAGGAATGTTCTTCCCCAAATGGCAAACTAAAAACAATCATACAGTTTGGTAGATGTACTTAAATACAGGAATGACTGTCAGAAGCCACTTTGGCACCAACCCCCAAAATTGTAACAGCTAAAACTTTGGTTGTTTCCACGAAATAAAACTTACCAGCTTTTACACAAAGCAAAAAAACAAAAACAAAGGCAGTTCCCTTGTAACACTACCTAGGAAATATGCTGTATTTACAAGGCAAACTCACTAAAGGAAATTTACCTTCTTTTTCCAAGAATTATGGACCATACTCTTAAAGAAAAAAAAAAAGTGAGGACAAAGAAAATGTTGAGAATAGACACCGCCTGGTGACCATCTGATACTGACTTCTAGGCACCAGCCAGCTGGGCTGTAAGTACCTCTTCAAACTGATTCGCTTTCCACAAAGGAATAAACCTCCCTGGTAAACTCTTAAGTGAGCCATTTGTGCTGGATTACAACCTGATTAACACAGTATAAAAATCGGCGGCAAGGAAACGTTAATGAATTAATTATTATTATTCAAGAGGCCCTTCTTGCTCTAGTGGTCAGAAATAATTTTTCACCCAAGTTCATCCTGCCTTCCTGCCTTGAAATGCAAACCAAATCAAAGCAGGAACTTCAGGAAATACCAAGAAACCACGTCTGATTTTCACCTAGCTTAGGCTCAATGCGTATTGAGTTTAAAACTCTTTAACTGAGATTCAAAGGCAATTTTCTTCAAGCCCACTCTTAAGACTCTAACTTTTACTGTTACTCCTTTGCGGGGGGGGGGGAGGAGACCTCAGGCTAAAATTCTAACTTTGTGTTCCTATTTCTCCAGATTTCAAACCTGAACAATGAAATCCAGTTTTCCACTTACGGTTTAAAAAAAAAGAGGAGGAAAAAAAATTATGTGCCTCAGAAGAGGGAGCAGATTTGCTGCTCCTGAAAGGCCGGGTGCAAGCGCTGTATTTCTCAGCCTTCAAGAGCCAGGGAATTAAAGGAAATGAGCCTGCTGATGTCTGTAAAAATAATAATCCACTCGGATGCTTGTGGTTCTTTTCTTAATTAAAGGTCCCATGTTCACTAGCTTATAAACAAGGAGGGCAAAACTTTAAAGACATACCCTACCATATCGTGAAATTTTAATCCTAATCATTTTGCCACCATTTATGCGCTTACATACATTACAAATTAGCCAAGGATGGTGGTTTCACTTCTCAATGGGCTAAACACAGTCTCCAAAAACGAAAAACTTTAATGCAGTCATGTAAATTTGAATTTCGGCTTCTCCCCCTCTCCAGAAAAGTCACCGGTGGGCCGAGATGCCCCTAAGTGTCAGCGGCCGGGTTCGCGCGAAGGAACTCCTCCGGCCCCACTCACGCCTCAAGGCGGACGCCCACGGCCGGGGACCGCGCGGCCAGCCTCGGCCCGGGACCCACGAGCGCACGTCGTCTGCCGGAACCCTCCTCCCGGGTTTGCAGGCTCGCGCTGCCCCTCGGCTGGCGGAGAGGCGCGGAACGGGCGCGGCGTGAGCGGAGCTGGCGGTTACAGCTCCCTGCACCCCGCCCTGCCGGGCCCGGGACCAGTCGGGGCGCGCCCGGGGCTGCCCCTCCCGCCTCGCAACTTTACCTCCCGCCCGCGGGGGCGACTGGGCCTCCGCCGCACCCGCACGCACGCAGGGCCCAGAGGCCCAGTCGGGCCTCCAAGGGCATTTCTCCGCCCCACTCCTCCCGGTGCGGAAGGGCCGACGCCGGGCCTGCAGCCCTGGGGGCCTTGGGGGGGAGCGGAACGGGGAGGGCGCGGCGGCCGGCACCCCCACATCCCTTCCCGACCACCGCGACTCCCGGCCGGCGAGGGCCGCCTCCGGGCCGCGGCCCCACGTCCCTGCCCACCCCCGAGGCCGGGGCCCGGCGCGACCCCGGAAGGGGCACCGTGAGGGGGCCGTGTTTACACCGCCGAGTTCCCCGCCTCCGCCCCGGCCCGCGCGTCCCTCCCCGCCCGCGGCGGGCGGCTCCTGCCTACCTGCATGCCGGGCAGGCCCGACTGCACCGGGGAGTGAGCCATGGCGGCCAGGACGGCCACTTCCTGGGACGGGACGGCCGGGCCGCGGCGATCCGCGCGGGCGACGAGGCCCGCGGGCCGCGCGCAGCCCGCGGGCAGCGGGGGCGGCCCGCCAAGCCCGAGTCTGGCGTCGGCGGAGCCGGCCGGAGCCCGAGGCCACCCCAGCCCCGGCGGGTCCCGGGCCGGCGGCGGGCTCAGCGGCGGGCGGCGGGCCGCGTCTCCATGCACCGCGCCGGAGAGGGCTGCGAACCGCTGCTGCTCGGCAGGAGCCCCGCGGCCTGGGCCCGCGCGCGCTGGCCGCCTGGAGCCGGAGTGGGCGCGCACAGCCGGCCGAGCCGCGAGCGCCGAGCCAGCAGGGCCTGCCGAGCGCGCCCCGCCCCGGCCCGGCCCGGCCCCCGCGCCCGCGCCCGCCCCCGCGGCCCGGCCGGGGACCCCGCCCCGCGCTTCCGGGAGGGGGAGGAGGCTCTCGGCCGCCCGGCGCCCTAGGCCGCAGCCGCCTGCGCCGCCGCCTGCCGCGCGGGTGGGGGTCCGAGCGTCTCCGCGGGCCGTCCGCCGCCCCAAGCCGGCGGGGCGGAGCGGGGGGAGGAGGGCGCAGGGCGGGGGGAGGAGGGGACCGGGTCAGAGCCGGGGATTGGCCGTAGGCCCGCCGTCCCCGCGACGACTCTCCCCAGGCTCCGGCCGGGTCGGGCGCCCCGGGGTCCTGGGAGGCGAGGAGGCGGTGAGCAGCTACTCTGAACTCTACCATCCGCTTCCTGCCACCATGCAAGCCCCCGCCTCTCTCTCTGTGCGCGGGGACGTGGGCTCCAGGCGACTCCCCGGGGGCAGAGTGTGGGGCAGGGAGACCTCGGGAAGGAGTGTGCCCAGCGCGGCCTCGGCCTGTGGCCGGTTCAAAACTCTCGGGGCGGAGCCTTTTCGGTGTTTGGGTGAAGTTTCCAACCAAACCAAGGAGGAGATCGAGAGGGGAGAGGCCGAGAGCTGCTAATTGCCAGTGCTTTCGCTACTTGAAGACAGCCCCGCCTGGAATGCTAGGCGCTGTAAGCTTAGCTACGCGGTGAGGGGGTCGAACCCCCCCATCTCTGGGCACCAGACCAAGGCGGGAGTGTCCACACAGGAGAAGGGAAAAATGGGGGAGGGCATGGCGCGGAGGAAGAGAAGACAATCGAAGGAAATCGTGTCTAGACTCACCCCAGCCCTCTCCCTTTTTCGGCTGCCCGCAAAAGTCCCAGGTCCTCTCTGAGCACCAGTACTGCTTGCACTTTTTAGTCACCTCTCCTTCGACTACAGAGGAAGGAAAAAAGAAGGAATGAGTCCAAGCTGTCTCCAGAAAGTATTTTATTTACAGTGACAAACAGTGGCAGCCACTGAAGTGATCTGCACCTCGGGTTGTGAGGACCCTGGCCCTTCACTCGTTCCCATGAATGCCCATGGTGCATCATCGCTGTGCGAGGTCGGACATGCTAAAACGAGCCCCCAACAGCTCACAGACAATTGGAGGAAACTAAACGTCCTCCACCCAGGTAAGGAGTGTTTATCCTCCTAGGGGTCACTGTATTCCGAGAAATTCAGTTCCCTGTGGTGCCCTGGATCAGACAAGGAGTGGGGTGGGAAAACTTAATCCGTTTTCCCTTTGGAAATACGCGTGTTTCTTCACGGTCCTTCAGGACATTCAGCTACCTTCATGGTTGTTACTGGTACACCATCTTTGCTGAGTTTTGAAGCTCTGCCATCCCCAAGTACTGTGAAGAGAATGGGGTGAACTCAAAGAAAAGCGTGAACCCTGAGACCTAGGAGCTTACTGTCTTAGATGGGTACGTGAAGAGGTGAACAGCAAAGTAAGCAAGAGCATGCATCTTTTCAATGTTCCTACTCTTCAACCCAGGAAGTCCACTCAGTGACATATCTTAAGGAAACAACCAGGAAGTGCATTAAAATGGATATAAAATAGATGCAGTGCAGTGATACTTATACTTGTGGGAAAATTGGGAACAGATTAAAAGTAACGGATTGTTAAGTAAATGATAGTACATTCGTATGGTGAGTACCATGTATTCATTAAAAGGATGATGTATTACAATATTCAGTAACATTGAAAATATTTTCACTATATATAAAGAAATAAAATGCCAGATACAAAATAATATGTATAGTCTGATCTCAAGCCACTTCATATATATAAAGTTTTATTTATATATAATTTACATTTATTTTATTTGTATATGCATAAACAGAAAAATTTGGAAGTATATACACCGCAATTTAGCAGTGGCTGTCCCTGGAATTAAAGGTGATTTTTTTCAGTCAGCAGTCAACCAGGAGAGATCATCATGCTAAAACTCCCCTTAGGGCCAGCACTCTGAGCAAGAACGCTGCAGGGATGATAAGGAGGAAGAAACAGAACTGGACAAAAACGTTTGGGTACTGATCTGAGGCATTACCATAGGAAACTAAGGAAACACAGGCCCACTTTGTAAGGGCTAAATTCCCACAACAAAGCAGGGGTTGTTGGGTGGGGGAAGGGGAGTGTCAGTCCAATGCCCATAATAATCTGGGTATAAAAAGTAATCAGAATGCCATTTTGTAACCAGAGACAGACTAAGAACATGTCAGTTACATGGGATGTAACATCTGGATGCAGTGACTTGTATTCATTAACTGGTTGTTTTCCCTATATGCTCTGTTTATCTTCTCACCGCAGTGAACTTCATTTCCTCCTTTGGCCATATTTACACAATTGAGCACCATTCTCCTTGAAAGAGTATCATGGGAAATAGAAGTTACTGGTTCCACTCAGTCATATGCAGACATTACCCAGCATTCGCCAGACAGTGGAACTCTCTCTTAGTTTTAGCAGGGATGATGAATATGGTGTCTGAGCCCAGGATGAGATCCTGCCCAACTGCTAATGCATTCTTTCATACTTTGACACAATTTTCCAATGCCAGCTACATGTCAGATGGACATAGAAACACCACATCCTCAGGTGCCTCTTATCCCATCCTAGGGACACAGTTTCCCAGAATTCTAACTTAAGAATTTTACAGCACAACAATTGATTAAATTTAGTCAAAATAGGTATAATTTCCACTAAGAAGGGGATTATCCTCTCATCCTCTTCCTCTTTATCATTTTCCCGCCACCATCAACACATAATTACAACAGATCATATACTACTATAATTCCAGAAGGACAGATTATGCATTTTCTGGTCTCCATGGAGATACTAACCCATGGAATTATTTTCATCCCCTGCCCTTCTTTGTCTTTTGTGTTGACTTAAGGACATGAATTGGACAAAGGACCACAAAGGACATTTCCATACCCCGATATAAAGCCCCGCCAAGTACAGGCTCTTGGTGATTTATTCCCCCTAAGCCAGCTCAGCAGCTCAGCAGAGCCCAAAGAGCACAGCCGAAAACAAGAACTCAACAATCAGTCCCTTCACTTCTCAGAGTTGAAAAGATAAACACCCCCAAATGCCACTTTATAAAGAACAACCAGACAAGTAGCACATTAGCAATTTAAATGTACAGATTAAAAGGATTTACATACTGAACTTTAAAGAGAGAAATATGAGTAGCTTGGATAAGCAACTAATAGAAGGCTTGACAAATTTCTACACATGTTCAGCAGGTGAAGACACAAAAGCAGAAGACAGAGCATTAAATCAGTATAAAGAAGCATGTCCAGTCATGACGGCAAGAAAATATATGCTAAAGCCTTAGGAAAAGATCCAGCTATGTTTGAGGGATGGTGCAAAGAAGTTTCATACCATGGGTGTGAAGTTCAGAGGGCAAGCTCACAGTGACATCACTCTAAATCCATTGTGTTGCACCCTGCATTTGTTTTCTAGGGCTGCCATTACAAAGTCCTCTGGTCTGGGTGGCTTAACAGAAATTGGTTTCCTCACAATTCTGGAGGCTAGAAGTCTGAGATTGAGGGCTCAGCAAGCCTGGTTCTTTAGAGGCCTCTCTCCTTGGCTTATAGATGGCCATTTTCTCCCTGTGTCTCACTGCTCTTTGTGTGTGTGTGTGTTTTAATCTCTTCTTTTTAGAAGGACACCCATGGTTTGATTAGGGCTCTCACCCTATGACTTCATTTTTAAAACTTAATTATCTCTTTAAAGACCCTATCTGTAAATGCAGTCACATTCTGAGAATTAAGACTTCAGTATGTGAATTGGGAGGCAGGGACACGATTCAGCCCATAACACACCCCTTTCACTGTATGATGTGTTCCTGGTCACCCTCTCTGCCAGGTTCCTCCAGGCTCAGCTCCATGAGCAAGGGCTTCCTTTCTCCTCTCCCAAGGCCTGCAGGCCTTTCTACACACTTCACATTTCACATTTCTGCTAATAGGCATTGCTTCATATTTCTTCCGGTGTAGTCCCTAAACCTTATCTCATGTAGAAAGCAGAGCGTTAATCACTAGAGCAGAAGCAGGTATTTGGTAAAATATTTCTAATTAGAAGAAATCATCTGGAATACATGACAAAATCTGCCAGAAAAGAGGTTAGCATATCTTGCAGGGAGTACATCAGAAGTAATAAACACTCTTTTCTGCCCAAACGTTATGCTTTAATAAGGTGTTTCTCTACTGCCTCCTCCCCTGAGGATCACTGCACCTGGAGGTGCAATTTACCAAGAGGGTTGATGTCTGAGCCCCCAACTAGGGGACTTTTGTGCAAATTCCCCAGTGGCAGTTGGTGGGGCTCCCATGAGGGAAGTTTAGGCTCCTGGGTTAGAAGGGTGCATTAGAACAGGCTCATTAGAAAAATTCTTGTGCAATTTTGCCTGGCAAAAAGCCAATTAACAGAGCTTGTCACCCTCAGAACAGTGGCCACTTGACCCTGTCAATCAGCTTATAAAGGCTTCAATACACTAAGGCTCATCATGCACTGTGTGTGGACTCGCCCCCCTCCTGAGGTTGGGTTTGCTTTCAGACGTATCTAGAAAGGGCATAAATGAAATCATCCCCAGTAGGATGATGTCATCCATCCCACAGTCACGGAACTGCAGCACCAGTTATTAAAAGCCCTTGGCCCTGTTTTCTGACAAGGAAGACAAATTATAGAAAAATAATTTTAATTTTCACTTCAAGAAGATCTAGGGAACATTGTATAACCACACAAAAGGGAAATGTGCCTGTGAATTGTAGGCATCGGTTGCAGACATTGGTTCCAGAGTGTACATAAACAAGTATGCTTGGAATGCTCGTGAACATACTGACTCTACGCTGCCCTCTCATCAAGGAGTCACCTACCAGGAAGAAAAGCACATAGCTTCGTATTTTGATTTTCCAGCCCAGGTTTATTTGGTTTCCTGAACTGTTGGTGATACTAAAAGTCACAGCTCTTTGAATAACAAGTGACAGAAACATATATTTTATGTCTAATTTATGTCTAGCTCAAACTTCATAAGCACAAGAGGATGAAAATTCTAGAAACTATATCATTGAAATTTTTTTAAATTGATGGGGTTAAGAGCTGGTTAATTACAACTGAAGAGAGACCGAATAAACAGGGAAAGAATGTCTATGTGTCTGTGTGCATATTGAAACTCAAAACACAATGTTGAGTAAAAGGCAGACATTAAAGAGTACTGTGTATCTCATTTACATGAAGTTTAAAAACAGACAAACCTAATCTATGGAGTCAGATGTCCTGAATGGTTAAATATGGGGAGGATAAAGGGAATACTGATCAGGTGTGGGAATGAGGAGGGCTATTTCTTGACCTGAGTTGTGGTTACACTGGTGTATTCACTTGGAATTATTCATCAAGCCATTTACAATTTGTGTACTTCTTTCTACATATGTTATATGCCAATAAAATATTTATAATATATGTGTATACACCCATGTAAATATGAAAGGCTATTAATAGAGGTTATCTTTGAACATTATGGATAGTTTTCTCTTTTTTTTTCCTACAATGATCATGGATTCCTTGTGAAAAAGGAAATAAAAGAGAAAGAAAAAAATACTGAATACTTTTTGTTTTAAGTTGAGGTACAGTTGACGTTATAACTGACTGATTTTATTTATTAAGATTTTTCTCATCCCGGAACAAAAGAAAATGGGATTTAGATTTGGCTTAAGAAAGAATCCCCTGGAACTAAAAAACGTTAAACAGAGAAAACAATGGATTCTTCTTCCCTGGTAACCTTTCAAAATAGAATAGGTGTTTTGTATGGTCTTCCCTGAAAGTATGGCTATAAACCAGAGTACCTCTTAAGATTTATTTTATGTCTATGATCCTATAGTTTTCAATATGAGGGAGATATATTCAAGGAATTTCTTTTATTGTGAGTTTACCTTCCAGGTAGTGAGCTGGTGACTGGGAGTGTAATACGTAATCATGTCTTTACAAGTCTATGGAGGTTATATGATATAGAGGAAATGTGATAAAACAGAATACCATGCACTCATTCATTAACAAGTACGAACTACATTTACATTGTGAGACTGATAGAGGGACTGTGATACTGCAGTAAACAAAACAGTATCTATGCTCTCATGGAGCTTATATTCTAATAAACAAATATGTATCAAGTCTAATGAAGATAAACAGTAAAGATAAAAAATGGCAGTGGATAAACTATGTTTTCTACCTTTATCTTGCATCTACCTACCACTTCAGCAGTTTATTAAAAATAAAAATAATAATAATAATAAAGGGAGAAATGTGGGATCCACATATAAATCAAGTATAAAAATCAAATGAATGTTCATATTTGACCTGATTGTTTATAGTTCATAATGCGTGATCAGAACCAAAAGTTTCTGTGATGACTGCCCTTGTACTGTTCACCATGTAAGAACTTATTCACTATGTGAGAATTCGTTCACCATGTAAGAACTTGTTCGTTATGCTTCAGAAGAATGGAGACTGACGAGAACTAGGCTTGAGATGGATTAATGATTGTGCATTGGGCATTGACCCCCCTATACAGAATTTTATTGTTGTTAACAACCATTTGATCAATAAATATGAGAGATGCCCTTTCAAAAAAAAAAAATGGCAGTGGAGATGGTGGTACAGAGTGACCTACCTTAGGTAGGATAGATGATGAAGCTTCTGTGTTTGGAGACATTGACATTTGGACAGACACCGAAAGAAGTGAAGGAGTGATCCAAGTGGCTTTCCAGGAAGAGAGCTTGTGCGTGGGCCATTCCTGAAGTCGCAAAAAGGCAAGCGTGGCAGGAGCAGCATGAGTAGACAAGGGAATGGTGAGAGGCACAGTAGCTTGAAGCAGGTCACATAGGGACATGTGGTCCATGACAAGGACTTTCGACTTTATCTTTGTGAAATGGGAAGCCAACAGGGAGTTTGGGACACAGGCATGAATATGATCTGACTCAGGTTTTAAATGTGTTGCTCTGGCTGCCGAGGGTACAGCTGATGGGAAAGAACAACTGCAGAAAAGACCATGCAAAGGCCCATGCTCTTCTCGCAGCCGGATGCAGGGGTGGTTCGGGCCACAAAGGAATTACAGGAACTAGGGACAAGGGGCATAATTCTGGATATATCCTGAAGACAAAGACAGTAGGATCTGTTGAAAGAATAGATGTGGTGTGTAAAAAAACCTCAAAGAGTCAAGAATAACTCCAGAAATCTTGGCTTGACAAAGTAAGACTTGAGATGGCAGTAGTCTTGAGAAATGCAGCTGGGGAGGGGTATGGGGCTATTCAGTGATTCTGATTAGCAGAATCGACTGGCTGTTCTTTTTAACACATAGGAGGAAGCAACTAAAAAGGCAAGCAACCCTTTGGAGTGGAAGATGAGAACCATTCTCACATTTGGATAGTGCCTTTGAAATTGTGCACAGCACAAAGTTTATAATACTAATGACTTTGCAAACTATTACTAGTTTTCTCAAATTGCTTTTTCCCCAATTGTTGCATTTTAACAGTCATAATTAATGGCAAACTATCCTATTCACCCATGGAAACCATTTTAACTCATGCACATCCTTTACCAATGGCCTTACACATCACCCTTTCTAGAAAGCTTTCCCTCACCTTTTCGTTAGGGTTAGGTACTCCCCCCGTAGATTTCAATAGGACCCCAAGGATCCTTCTATCATATTTCTTACCAAATACACTGTATTATCATCTATTTTTCTGCCTGATCCAATGGACAGATGCAGTTATCTTTGAATGCCCAGTAGCTGACTCAGGACTTAGCACTCAAAGAAAATGTGGGAAAGGAAGAGAGGAGGGCAGGGAGGGAAGGAAGGTGGGATGGGTCTAGAATATATTTTCTCTCCACTACCTGGAAATTATTTTACTGCAGTAGGTCCACCTT